TGCCACAAATAATCCTGGCCTAACACTAGACATTAACCCTGGATAATAATTCAAAATACAACAGACAGAATAAGCTGCTTCAGTAACCTAAAGGATGCAAATGACCGGCTGTCTACAAGGAATATAAATCCTTCCATTCCCCACCATCCAGTCAGAACTGAAGAAGCTTCTTGGATGAGAAGCGAAACGCCTTCAAAGAAAAAAACAAGAAAGTCAAGTTGCCTCCTGGAAAAGCACCTTTGGGACCACCATGACCTGGATGACAGAATCTCCATAGACTTTTAGCCATGCAGTTTGGGATGAACACCCTTCGAACGGTGTGGGAGTATGACCGGATTTCCAGAAAAATACTGCAGATTACAGGAACCATTTGGACTACTCAGGTGACCCTGAGGACACAGATAAACCTCCAAGTGGCCTCAACGACTGTCTACAAGAATGCAAATGACCAGCTGTCTGCAAGGAGTATAAATCCTTCCATTCACCACCATCTAGTTAGAGCTGAAGAAGCTTCTTGGATGAGAAGTGAAAGGTCTTCAAAGAAAAACAAGAAAACAAGAAAATCTGTTGCTTCCTGAAAAAGCACGTTTGGAACAACCATGACCTGGATGACTTGAGAATCTCCACAGACTTTCAGTAACCTAGTTTGTGCAACTCAGTTGGGCTCAAAACCATAGAAACCTGGAAGTTGGAAGAGGCTATTAAGACTAACTATCTACCCAGCAGGAAAATCTAAATTATTGGTAGTCCTCAACTTAAAACCTTAATGGACTCCGCTCATGATGGTCTTCAGTCGTTACAGTTGTAAAGCAGGCGTCCATATGACCAGATCTGTTTTACAAGTTTTTTTGCAGCAGTAGTTAAGCAGTCATCATGATCAAAATCATATTATTATTTTTTGCCCAAAATAGACATAAATGCTGTCATGTGACTGTGAGGGTATGTGTCACAACTTCAGAACCAGGTCATAAGTACCCGGGGAAGGTAACTTCGTGCAATCGTTAAGTAATCGGTTGTAAGTCAAGGACTATCTGTGCAGCCTTTATTAAATGCAACCAGCTGAGGGGAGCCCATCCATCTCTATATATATATAAATAAAAATTTAAATGTTCATTTGTTCAAAATCTTAAATCTCCGAAAGTTCTTCACCGATTGCTTTGAAATTTTGACACAACATTGCATTCGAATACGCGCGTGTTTTTATATACCTATATTATATAGATGTCACACCTGTGACAGGTAAAAACATGCTTTTTTTGAAAAACAGCGCCATCTGTTGGACGTAAAAGCAACACACGCTTTTACCAGACTGAGCCACAGCAACGTGTGGCTGGGTACAGCTAGTAAGAGATAAAACCTTTTTTTCCTAATAGTCAACTGGATTCATTTTGCAGTATCTTAAAACCATCATTCTCTGTCTGGCTTTCTAGGACAGTGGTTCTCAACCTTTTTAATGCCGCGACCCCAACCGGTCGTAAGTCGAGGACTAAACCAGTCGTAAGTCGAGGACTAAACCGGTCATAAGTCGAGGACTAAACCGGTCATAAGTCGAGGACTACCCAACCGGTCATAAGTTGAGGACTTTCCCTGCCCGGGAGCGCCGCACATGCGTGGTTCCGCCCCCTGCGCTGGCCGAGGCATAGCTGGCAAGCGGCAGAGACGGAGCAGGCCGACCACCAGCTGGCCCAGCCCAAGGGAGGTAAGGCACCCACCGGAAAAGGGGGAAAAATGGCAGACAGTCTTGCTTGGCGGCCCCCATGAAATGGTCGATCGACCCCAAATGGGGTCCCGACCCACAGGTTGAGAACCACTGTTCTAGGATGACACAGAAGGATTCTTGGCTGCCTTCTACTTAACAGACTCTTTAAGAACTTGAAGTCTGCTGTCGTATCCTCACCCTTATCTTTTCTCAAGGCTCAATACTGCTAACTCATTTAATCTTTGTTCCCAGGCCTTAGTTTCTAATCTCCTGATTATCATTCTTGTCCTTCTCGGAACCTAGTCCAGTGTGTCAGAATCCTTCCTAAAATGTTAAGAGTCCTTGCAGTGGTGTGTCTGCCCAGTGCAGAATGGAGTGGAAATCTGATTTTTCAAGAAGTAATTTACACAATTGCCCAAACTGTAATGCTATTGATAAATCCCAAATATGCATACGGTAATGATAAAAATTATTTTAAACCACCCCAAAATTGTCACCCATAGCAAACCAGACTAAACTATGCTCATTTTCAGCACGCATACAATAAAAATTGCAAGGGGAATCATGGCAGGGAATTTGAAACTTCGGTTCCTGAGTGACAGATTCAACTTTTAACCTTTGTTTGCTTGGAGCAAAAATGGTTGGAGTGCTTATCCTTTGGATGAAATTGGAGAGCGAATACCAACTGATTTAGTCTGGGCCAGGTGGTAAAAGATTAAACTGCTTGTATCCTCCACAAATAGACTGTAATCTAGAGATTGGAGGCATATCAAACAAGCAAAAATGTTAAGATAAATAGACAATCACACTAGTTAAAAATGTAATAGCTAAATTCAGGATGTGGGAAATCCAGATCTCAAGTTTTTCTCAGTGCGCTACAAGATTTGTGAGAAGAGACATATAAAAACCCTTTGCATGATAAAAACCGGATAAGAACTTAAACAGACCAATATGCATTCTTCAATTAAGTAACTAATGTATTTATGTAGTCGTTAAAATGTTTAATCTTATTCCTATGCTCACTTCATCTAAATGGGACTATTCTATTTGACCCACTCCATAAATATTACCTTATGAACAACTACAAATAGAAGCCATTACGACGAAGGTCATTTAAACTTAAATCTGATCCTTTACTGTTATTCAGTATAATTTTGCCTTGCATCGCTTTCTGGCTAAAAGGTAAACTCAATTTCTACACGATCAAAATTTTAAACAGGCATGAACTACATGTATTCATCCCTGTCATTTCCCAGACAGGCATATTAGTTACCCCAGATGTAAGGCATAAACAGCATTCAGGACAAGCATAACATTCCAGAAATGCTGACGCTCAGCAGGAAATCACATGGCTTTGATACAGGAACATAACGGGGTTAAACCAGCCACAGAAAAAAAAAAATTCAGACTGCAAAATTGTGCAGGGGAGGCGAGGTGGGAAGACTGTTGCTCGGTAGCTTAGAGAACAGCTGCCAATCAGAGCAAAGATGACTGTACTTGGTAAACCAGCGATCCAATGCAGGATAAGCAGTTTTGTAAATTCAAAGGAGTAACCAAAGAAGCATAGCAAATGATAACAATTGAAGCTGTGTGATGCTTTATATTTGATTCAAAAAAAAGAAGTGCTTTGGTGCACCATGGCCCAGAAGCAAGGAGTCTTGCTTGCAATTTAATCCTCTCCCAGAATCACAAAGCTGTGCTTTGGTAGATAAAATGATGCGGCTGCTTTAAAGAGGGACAGAGGGGTACTCCCAAATGCTTCAAAGTATCTTTTTAGATTCAAACCCGAAGCACTGCACGTCCCTCGTAATAAGAGATTATATACAACATTCAATGATCGAGCAATAGAATATTTTGATAATTCCCTGGAACGCTCACTAGAAGGAACATTCCCAACAGTTCTGAGGACCAAACTGAGTCCTTCTGAAAGTACTTCATGATATCCTGGGAAAGATTTCAGGTGGGATCCAGAAAAATACCACCACAAAACGGATAATTGGTACATTTTGGAAGGGGAAAAAAATGGCACATTTCTGGGAATATCCAAATAAACTATTCCTGTACTATAAGCAAGCTACAGACCCTTGTTTCCCACCATGGTGCCATTAGAGTCCTATTCCCAACCCTTTTTTGGCCCTGCTGGCTGGACAAGATAGAAACTGCTATTCAGTCCATCTGGAAGGTGCCTGACTGAAAACTTTACACTGTACAGTTTCTAGCAGCCTCTAGTGGTATTTAAATGTATTTCTAGAAATAATAATCGTATCTGGGAACGGAAAAATGTTCCAAATTCAAATCATTCTGAATTGAAAGTTTTGCACATTCATAGCTTACTGTATATGCAATTGGATAGGTTTTCCTGGATGTAGTGGACAAAACTCAAATTGTTGAGATGTCTGGATTACCAAGAAATGATTATAACTGTTTACTTATATCAGAGGCCAAACAATTCTCTCCTCCTTGGTGAACTGCCGGCTCTCTATTCTTTGTAGCAAACTGCTTTTATTAGACCTCACTCCCTCCTAGCAAGTTTCACAACCATAAAATATGCTTTGGCTAGATTTTATTTCAATAAGCATCTTTTTCCACCAGCATCTCACAAGGGAAACTGAAGAGTTATTCCGTTTCTAAACACTTGGCAATGAGTGGCTTGGAAGAATGATTCACAGCTGTTAGGTGAAAAGGGTTTTTGAGAGGAAAATAAGGGTAGAGGATAGCTGGTGTTTATCATGCCATATCTCCATACATTTTCCATTTCATAGAACCTAAATGTGCCTGGCTAGTCAAATGCACACCATCAAAGTTGACACCAGCCAGAGCATTAGAAAAAAAATCAAAGAACTAGGACAAGGTTTTCCCAGTTGCAATGTATGGCTGTGAAAGTTGGACCATAAGAAAGGCTGAGCGCCAAAGAATTGAGGCCTTTGAACTATGGTGCTGGAGAAGACTCCGGCGAGTCCCCTGGACTGCAGGGTGATCAAACTGGTCAGTCCTAGAGGAGATCAACCCCGACTGCTCCTTAGAAGGCCAGATCCTGAAGTTGAAACTCAAGTACTTTGGCCACCTAATGAGAAGGAAGGACTCACTGGAGAAGAGTCTGATGCTGGGAAAGATTGAGGGCAATAGAAGAAGGGGACGACAGAGAATGAGGTGGCTGGATGGAGTCACTGAAGCAGTAGGCGTGAGCTTAAATGGACTCCAGAAGATGGCAGAGGACAGGAAGGCCTGGAGGAACGTTGTCCATGGGGTCGCGATGGATCGGACACGAGTTCGCAACTAACAACAAGGGCAAGGTCGGAAGAGGTGGACAGACCTGGCCCATAGAATCGCCAAGAGTAGGACACGATTGAATGGATAACATTACCTATCAATCAAATGCAATTTCGGGAGCAGAGGTATGAAATAATTTCTCCCCAAATGAAAAAAGAATCATTTTCAATAAATAATGGTAGCCCAAGAAGATATTGATCCACTACCCGTCTTCATTTTGCCACTGAATCAGCAAACTTAAATTAAGTATTTACCTTTCGGGCTTGCTCTTCGGCTCGTTCCTTTTTTATCTTCTCTAGCTCAGCCAACAGAGCAGCTGTATCATCATCGCTCTCTTCGTCGTAATCTTCCTCCTCCTCTTCCTCCTACAGATGCGGTAAAATCAGCAGACTGTTCATTTTATACCCGAGAGGAGTGTGCAGTGTTTCAGATTCCACTCCAAAGAGAAACTCTGGACTGCACAGAGACCCAAACACGGCAGTTGTCTAGCCGTTGATCAAATTAGTCCTGCTGCTTCCAAGATGCAGCTGCTTTAAAAGCAGACAGGTGCTTCACTTGTGCTGACGCATCTTTTCCAATTTATTTCTGAAATGCACACTAGCCTCCTACTGGCGTAAAACGCTTAATTCCAGTTCCCTATGTCATATAATAAAACATGCACATATAATGCATTTATCAAGCAACTAATCAAACTTGTACTGATGAAAAATCTGTAAGTTTATTCAATTTGCAATTTCCAGTTTTCCAATCAAGCAAGCACGTTACAGTTTAAATTTTTTACCACAGAAATCATAACTCGCCAAAGATTTCTATTTCTGAGGCTTCCGAACTGAACATCAATATTTTCAAGTGAAACATATTTTTGTGGGGGGAAAAACCATGTATGCAACTATTTTTAAGTTACTATATTTTCAATTAGCTCTCTATCAATCTTATTAGGTTCAATCGCAACATATATTATTTAATCCTAAAGCCTGGATCTCTAATAATCCCATGACACACTACCCTGGTGCTGCCAGGATCTACACTCTATCTGATTTTATATTATTATTCGATTGTTTTAATTGAAACAAAAATACATAGAAGCTAGCACACTGCAACGTGTTAACTTCAAACAATTTCAATGGTTCTGCATTAAAAATGCAGGAAAAAAAACATTTTAGGAAATAAAAATGATGGGAGTCAAACCCTAGTGCTTTGTCATGTGTGTGGAAAAAAACCAGAAGCTGAGACTATGAAGAGAATTGTGGAGTATTATAAAGATTGCCAGGAGTTTTGCTCTCCAATAAACGGGTATTTAGTGACTGGCCACACCCACCCATGTTTTGGGAGAGTACGTTTAACATGAAAGCTGGCTGGGTGACATTGGGCCAGTCATTGGCTCTCAGCCCAACCCACCTCACAGGGCTGTTGTGCGGAAAATAGGAGGAAGGAATATTAGATATGTTCACCGCCTTGATTTGTTTATAAAAACAACAAAGGCGGGATATAAATAAATATTCTCAGAATTTCAAAAGTGCTTATTAGTAAAAAAAGATTTGGCAACTAGAGGGATGTTTTAAGATTCCCCAAATTTAAGAAGGAAGAGCTTTATGGTTTGCAATACCTGTAAAGATTCCCTTTCCAACCATTCAAAAATTTATCTTTTAATATCAGGAAGCTCATATGTCATACTCTACTATATCAATCCAGTTTAAGGAAAGAGCACCCCATTTTGTAAATTACAGTGGCCGTGTTTAGGATAATTTATTTTGATTTCGAAGAAAACCCTGTGCCTCGCGCTCAATTCTAAAAACTCGAGGTCCACTGAATCTGCCCCTTCCTTTCTCACAATTTAGTGGCAGCAGAGTGGATGCCATGTATGCAACAGATTCAATCTTGACTTTAAAAAATTAGCAGGACAGAAGTGATGATCTTAATCCTTATCTGACCTGGACTGCGCTAACCGTCACAGGAGACGAGCTAGGCGTGGATCAAGATGGACCACACAGAAGAGAACCACCGGGTACCCAAACTGTTTGAAATACGTACATCTGTCAAAGGATCATCTGCATCCAGGTTAGCTGCAGGGATCTGATCGAGTCGAGGTTTCTTGGAGATCGAAGAGGAAGTGGTGTGTTCTGGGAAAGAAACAGAGCCAGCAAAACAAACTTGTGACCAATAGCAATGAAAGAAAAGTGAATACGAAAATGAAAGCTGATATGTAAAAAAAAAAATGTTACCAGTTCACACCAATATTTCAGTGTATCTAAATTCTAATAGAGTTGTATTACTGCTTCTCTAACTGGGGGAAAAAGAGGTAGAGGAAGGTGCTAAAAATCTCAAGTGATTTTTGCTTGTAAGTCTGTAAACACTCCTTAGAGTAAAGGCAATATATATACCTTTTTATCCATAGTGACAGGTTGTTAAGCAATTTTGCCTTTCAAAACCATTCCCAAATATTTAAAAAGTCCTTCAATACAGGTAGTCCACGACTTACAATTCATTTAGCCACCGTTCAAAATTACATCATCATTGAAAAAAGTGATTTATGGCCATTTTTCACATTTACAACCACTGCAGCATTCCCATGGTCATGGGATCACAATTCAGATGGTTGGCAACTCACTCATGCTTAGGACCTTTGCAGTGTCCTGGGGTCATGTGATCACCTTTTGTGACCTTCTGACAAGCAAAGTGAGTGGGGAAGCCAGATTCACTTAACATGTTACTAACTTAACAACTGCGGTGATCCACTTAAAAACTGTGGCAAGAAAGGTTGTAAAATGGGCACAAAACTCAACAAATGTTTCACTTAGCAACGGAAATTTTGGGCTCAATTGAGCCTGCAAGTCAAGGACTATGTGTATTGCTATTTCTTTACAACAACCTTCCTCCCCTGCTCCACAGTATTTACTGCTAATACATTTCCTTCTAGAATTTTTATTCATCTCTTATTTGTTCAATTTATAACACTTTTTGCTGTTCACATTCTCTCTGTAATATATTTACAATACTAGAAGACCTTGCTTAGCTGCTGCCTCAGGCAGCAACCATTCAGAGTTGCAACAGGTATAAAAAAAAGTAACTTTGTGACTAATGGCCACATTTATGACCTCTGCAGCACCTCAGGTGTGTGTTCATCATTTCAATCAGTTATCACACAGTGTCCTGTGCCTGATCCATTTTTTTCTCCTCACCACACCCTGTAGAGTGAAGAAATTTCCTGAACACACTGCTTTTCTCCACAGCTCAGCACTTCCCTCAAAAGTTAAAATTCGAGTTAAAAAGCTGAGGTCTGCAATCTTAACGAGTGGCTTGCAGTTGCTGCCTGTAACTGACAAAACTTTAATCACTTTAGGGAGCTGGGAGTGTGCTAGGCTCACAACTGGCATCACAGCTTTCTTTTCAATGTGCCTTCTTCATTATTTGCTTGCTTACTTTCTTGTAATCCCTTCCTCTCCAATGAATAATACAAACATTAATTCCATTCTTGCTAATTATCCCATTGCCAGGGGGAGCATTCCAAAGCATGAAGAAAAAAAAGGAAAGCTGAGGTAAAATTGTAAGCCTAGGCATGGCCGAGTGATTTTTCCACTTCGCAACAATGTCTCTTAGCAGCCAAGCTGCCAGTGTCTATTGTGGAAGCTAAATGGGGATTATCTGTAATGTGCTATTGATTGCTGCCCTGCTCTAGCATCTGGGAGAGGTTTTGTATTTATCAATTGTATTTATTTCTTACAAAATTACCACCCCGTACAATATTGTCAAAATGTACTTTAGTGAGCCCTTTTTGAACTTCCTGGGCCTGCACTTGATCCACGGCGATCTCCACAGAGGCTGATCAACCACACAAAACCTCTTTGCCAGGATGGTGGCACCAACCTCGGGCTGGCCTGTCTCGGTTCTTCTCTCTCACTGCAACTCTCTCCCTCTCCTCCAAGTCTCTCCTGAAGTCGCGGTTGCGCACCTCTTCGGGGGCATCCTGAGTGGTCTGCCTGAAAGAAACAGCACATTTAAGAACATGAGTCAAGAAAACGAAGCCGCTGCAGCACAGCGGACAAGAAAATGAAATAAGAAAGGGGGAAGTCCACAGCAGCACGATCTGCTTTCGGAAAGTTTCTTAAACAGTATGTTTCCATGAGGGCATCTTTCAGAAGTTGACTTTGTGGCCAGAACACCTCTGGAATACCAGAAAACATCTTCTGAAATTAATAAACCATTCCAGAATGCCTGTATCACTTCTTCCTCACGTCCACTGTTGAAATGTGGTCTAAGTGAGGCTCCTATGAAGACCATTTGGAAATATCACCCAATTCAACACCTAGCTACCCATGTAATGCATCTAAATTTGCTCAGGTAACCTTACTACTCTAGGGATTTCACTGGTTGTCAGTCCTCTTCCAAGGGATTAGTTGTTATCTTTAACATCCGACATAGCTCGGGGCCTTGGTATCTTCAAGATCAGCCCCTCCAAAATGGATCTGCCATCCAGTAAGATCGGAGAAAGAAAACCTGCTGAGCATCTTGTCCCTTAAGGCAGGGGTCCCCAACCCCCGGTCCATGGACCAGTACTGGGCCATGGCATGCCAGCAACTGGTCCACACAAACAAGCAAAGCCCCATCTGCAGGATGCAGGCAGCACACAAAACCGCACCCCCTCCGGTCCACGGAAAAACCTCTCTCGACGTAACCGGTCCCTGGTGCCTAAAAGGTTGGGGACCTCTGCCTTAAGTTCTATTCCAGGGAGCCTCTAGTTAGTTTATTGCAATGTTGGCCTTCCCCTTTGGGGGAACATTTTGCCCCTAAATTAATGAACTATTATCTAACTGATGAGTTTCCATAGGGTTGTGAAAATGTGATTCTTTGACAGAGCATTTGGAGACATGAAGTTTGCGCCCTCCGCATAGTGGCATTGTTGTGATATTGTGTTTTTCCTTGGCTGTGTTTTGTTTGTTCCTGTTGCTCACTTTTCTTCTATTGGGGCGCTTCTGAGTGGGTTGGAATAAAGTAACGTATCAATTGCCAAAAATAAATAAATAACCTAGAAGAAAACCAGAATGTGGCAAGAATGGACTAGGTTGTTTTGTACACAATGAAAAAGAAATTCTCATTTCAAACCTTATTTATTTTCTTATGTCAGCTAAATGTCAGTTATTTGGTGTAATATATATTTAGCCTATTTTTCAGTACCAAAACTGAAAAACTTATAAACTTATACAAGCCCAGCTCTATACTTCAATATACTTCGGTATGATCCTTGCACATTTTATAATGGAAAGGGGGGGAGTCTGATGTTAAGTCCAATTAGGACTGCAATTGGAGCAAAGTCTCCCTAAACTGAATTTGACTCCTAGTGATTACATGAAGAGGATGACCAACAACAACGTGCATGATCTCAGTTAGTGGTAATGGTGCACCATTGGAAGACCTAATGGATCAAATTAAGGACAGACCATTATGGGGAAAAAATCTATGTGGTGGTTAACAAGTGACACCGATCCGATGTCACATAATCTGTTGAATTAAAGGTTAATTTAAACCTTGGTTAGGTTTTACTGATTTATTGGTGGAGTCCCCAAAAACCGAAGAACAAATTACCCCGTTTTATGATAAATATGGTCACTAAAACTCATTTGATAGCACATAAGCAATTACATTAAGCTATGGCTGGCCTCAGCGGTGACCCATTGGAGATTACAAATTCATAAATCTCCAGGTGTTATCAGGTGTTCCCTTAAACCAGGGGTGTCAAACTGCCAGCCCGTGGGCCAGACGCATCACGACGAAACCTTGCCCACCCCATTGCTGGCAATGGAGAAAAAGCTCCGATACGTCACACGACGTCATGTGACGTCGCGAAGTTGACATGTCTACCTTAAACAGAATACTTTATTTGGTCAAGTGTGCTTAGACACACAAGGAATTTGTCTCGGGGACAAACGATGACTATACCGCACAGACAATACGCTAGATTCCAGAAAGAAAACAAATGGCAGCCATTCCTTTATTCGGGCAAAATAAAGCCCCACTACCAGGATCAATTCCCAACACCACTACCAGAACAAAAACTTGGCCTTTACCTGTATTTGATTTTCGTATGAGAAGGAAGATCCCTGCTAGAATACTGCTTGGAGAGCTGACTTAAGTCCCCTTCTCCTTTCCCTCTTCCGCCTCTGGCAGGTTCAAAAGTTGGTCGAGCAGCAGTGGTCATCTTAAAAGCATGGAATCAAACTCACACCATGGATGTAGGTTAAAACCTCCAATAGTAAAACAAAAACAAAGCTTGGTCAATATATCTTATTCCAAGGAAACAGTCTCTCTTACAGCTGCAGGGCAATGTTGCCCCTCTTCATTTCTTAGCAAGCTATACTGAATTCAAGAAGTTTGGTGCCGCTGAAGCCAACACAAAATGGTAATTCTAAGTAGAGGTGTATCTTCATTTTGCTGCAGCATCCCCAAAGCCCTAATGACATACCTACGTTTTAAAAACACACAAAAAGAATACGCAATATTCTTTCTAATTTCCAGGGATTCAAATAGGAAAATGTGGGCAGATACAGACCCAAAAAGTAATTTTAATATGAAATACACTTCTATTTTTTGGAAGCCTTTTGAGGATTTCCTAAAAATGACTGTAAAGGATGATAAACAAGAACAACTTATTTTTATTCTTACATCAAAAGCCTCTGTCAGAATTGCAAATATATTCGCTTCATTCAGTTTCTGTACCCTGTCTCTGATAGATTTGATGTTATACCTTTCTCTCATGGGCCATTCAGGATAGCTACTAAATAAAATTAAAGAAAACCTTGTCTACACTATCTTTGATGCAGAGAGTAGGTGAGATTTAAATGCAATAAAATTACGCTAAAAAACTACATTTCAGCCTTCAACGGCTACAAAGTAAATCTGCATATAAATCTCACTGTAACCTTTCTTTACCTTTTGCAACGGATGAAACAATGCATACTTAAAAACACATACACTAATATGAACTATTTGCTATCAGAAGCTTTTATTTTGTTCCATAGTTAGAGCAGTTAGACATACAGCGTGCTAGCGAAACAATTTCATTAAGAAAAGCATGTTTCAACAATCAACTGGCAATGAGGCATCATTATCCTTGTCTTTAGGTGAGATGGGTGGCAAACAAATTCAATAAATAATCACTGGTTTATTTTTTAAAATACAGAATAAATATTTTCACATATCTGTTGCAAAGAAAATGTTTTATGTTTAGGATTTCTTGATGCCATTCAGTCCTAATACTTTGGCCACCTAATGAGAAGGAAGGACTCACTGGAGAAGAGCCTAATGCTGGGAAAGATGGAGGGCAATAGAAGAAGGGGACAACAGAGAATGAGGTGGCTGGATGGAGTCACTGAAACAGTAGGCGTGAGCTTAAATGGACTCCAGAAGATGGTAGAGGACAGGAAGGCCTGGAGGAACATTGTCCATGGGGTCGCGATGGGTCGGACACAACTTCGCAACTAACAACAACAACAACCCTTGTGCAATATCAGATGATTTCCTTCAGTACTTACCTATCATTCATTTAGGCATTTCTCTACCCATCTTATCACCAAGGCAGCAAATAACTGAATTGACAAGTTTCTATTATCATGTTATAGATCTATTGTTGGAAAGCTACCAAACACAATACAATTCATCTTTGCCTCTATGTTAATAAAACATGGTATTGATTGTAACATTTATATTACAGTAATTAAGTTAGACTACAATTAGCACCTTGTATCACAGATACATACAGACATCATAAACAGACCACTTTGGTTTCAAAGAATTGAGACGGTCTCAATTAAAGATAAAGGTTTCCTTGTCCAGTCGTGTCCAACACCAGGGCTGAGGGAGCCAGCGTTGTCTGAAGACATTTTCCACGGTCACGTGGCCAGCATGCCTACATGCCAAAGGCGCAAGAATGTTGTTACCTTCCCACCAAAGTGGTACTTACCGGTATTTATCTTCTTGCATTTGCATGCTTTCGAACTGCTAGGTGGGTAGGCTGCGTCAAGGATGGGAGCTCATCCTATCGAGTGGCTCTCGGATCTCGAACCCAAGCTGTCAGCTTCAGCTAACAAGCTCAGCTCTCTTTAACTGCTAAGCCATCGCACCCTCCCCCCTTCTTAATTATAACTATTACAATACAAATCTATCCAGCACTATTTTAGACACTGCAATCTGCTGCATCAAGTAAACTGGGGTGGAAAGGTAATCACAAAACAGCCTCCAAGAGAGAAAGTTCTTTATTCTAATCCAGCGGTTCCCAACTTTCCCGAGAGATGGACTTCAGCTCCCAGAATTCTCATCAATGACCAGGCCAGTTAAGGAATTGTAGGGGTTGAAGTCCACATGACTGGAAGTGCCCCAGGAGGAGGAGGAGGAGGAGGAAAACATTGTTCTAATCCAGGGGTAGGCAACCTTGGCTCTTTTATGACTCGTGGACTTCAACTCCCAGAATTCCTGAGCCAGCATGGCTGGCTCAGGAATTCTGGGAGTTGAAGTCCACAAGTCATAAAAGAGCCAAGGTTGCCTACCCCTGTTCTAATCTCACCTCTCCCCTGTATGATAACCCTGTAAGGTAAAGCTTTTTCAAGTTGAGTTCAAATCCACACGATTAGATTAACTCCTTTAAATCACTCTAAATTCAGTCTCTCAAAAGATCACCTTGCCTCTTCAAAAACCTAGACAGATCCATGTAGTTTCCTAGGCAGGAGTAGATCAATACTTGGCCAGTGTTGCCTTCTGGGATTTTTTCTTTAAATTCCCAAGTCTATTCTCCATCCCTGGGATTTCCTGGTGGTCTCCCATCCAAGTATTAGCTGGTCAGCTTTTCAAGTTCAATTAAGGCTGGCTAGAGATTGACACCTAGACGGACCCTGTAAGGCACATCAATACTGTTACTCCGGATCGTGCATGGAGAGACTGAGAAAGAGCATACTGAATAATCCTCGATCAAGCCCTACTGTCGTATGAATTCTGAATAGATTCTGCGCGCAAACCTGGGATTGCTTGAAAACTCTGTAGCCGTAGCACGTAAAAAAAAAAATCCCTACCACCACATTGATATCGTAATTAATTCTACCTGCTGTAACGACTGGCTTAAATGGAGCAGCTTCCGGGTTCTGAAGCACGTACGAGATCCACCATGTAGCTCGACCCAAGGCTCGCGGTTACCGCCGCACAGCTAGGCCCGCCCCGCCATTATTCCTCCCGCAGGCCAGCATCCACCGCACACGAAATCATAGAGAAACAAACTCGACGGCGCAAAAGGGGGAATTTCTATGTAAGAAAGAAAGCTAGAGTGGCTCCGTCGCTTGAGCTTCCGGTAAACTACGATCAGGATTGGTCGTTTGGCTTCTCGGGGGCAGGACAAAACTGCGCCGCTCTTAGCCGGATCCTCTCTGCCCCATTGCAAAGAGGAAGGTACTGTAGTTCAGTTTTAGACCGGAAGTGCGAGCAAAGACTTAAAGTTAGAGCAAAAGCAACATACTACTTCTGGTTTAAACTTCATGGGAAAACAAAATGTGGGAACCTCATCCCACATCGAAAGAGAGTCGAATCCAAATTCAGGAAGGTAGTTCCTTCTACTCCTAATCCAAATTCAGTTCCTTCTACTCCTAATCCAAATTCAGGAAGGTAGTTCCTTCTACTCCTGATTGGCGGAGCATTTCCTGTCCATTTTCCTTTAATTTTCTACTCCTAATGGTCAGTTGGGAACCGGAAGTGTAAGGATGTGCAAATAATTCTTGTCTCTTAAAAGACTTTCTCTTAAAACTTGGCGCTTTTATGACCTGTGGACTTCAACTCCCAGAATTCCGTCCACAAGTCATAAAAGGACCAAGTTTGATCTCTTGGCCACAATAATCAGATTCAGAAAATAAAATTGATGGTATAATCCACAAAAAAAGCCTAAGTTTAAGTAAGAATGGAGGTATATCACATTTATTTAGCAATGATTTATTTAGCAATGATTTATTAAGTTGGTTTGATTCATAGAACATATTAGCCCAAAACGAAGAAAAACACTTGCTTAATGTAATCCATCAATTCAATTTTTTGGAATAGTTTTTTCTAAAAACAAATTGTTATAAGATTGGAGATATGTTTGAATGTGTATGGATGTTTTCCCCTTTTATATTATATTTGGAAGCAAACTTGTGAAGACATTTTCATATTTATCCTAATATTGGAAGCAGGAAGATATTTAACAGATTCAGTTTGGGATAATTTCACCCAGGGCTCAGTGTCTCTCTGAAATGGATTTTCTAATGCCACCCCAATTTTTAAATGAATGTTAATAACCTGATTTATTAGTATATAATTTGAATTTTGCTTCAACACCTAGTTGAAAAGAAAATGTCTTTTTTTCTCATATTATTGTTTTCTGGAATTAAGCCACTAGAGGTCCCTAGAGAATTTCAGGTAAATATTATTTATAGGTGTATATGTGTGTATGTGTATGTCAGTAAGATGTACTGTAAGATGTCAGTATTTTTCACTGTTTCTTGGAGCTGAATCGTTTTTTAAATGGCAGACACGTTATCAAAGTCAGCATATTAACATCCTCTCATATACTTCCTATATAGGTTCTGTTGTTCCTGTGGAAATGTTGGGATTTTGTTTATTATTTGGATTCTTTTCAATATCTGAAAATAGTTATTATATCAAGTAAAGTTGCTTCATTTGTGACTGTAAAGATAGGATTTTTAAAAACATCCCAAATCACAATGGACTGAAAAAGATGTTTGAAAAAAAAACCACTGATTTAATGGGGAAAGTCATACATTGCAAAAATGAATCTTACAGGTAATTCTCATTTAAGCAACTGTCTCATTTATTCAACCATGATGAAAAAGTAATTTTATAATCAATCCTCACAAATATAACCTTCACGGGTCTCTAAAAGAAATGATAGCTGAAGTAAGACCTTAGGCACAGTCCTGGTTTCACTTAAAAACCATTTTGCTTAATGACTGAGTTGTTTGCTCCAATTCTGGTAGCTAAAAAAGGACTACCTATATTTAATGATAATATATCATTCTTAAAGCCATATCCATATCTTCATATACAAAGTGTGTTTCAGTGGGGGGTTTTTTTACGGGTGTGTTTTTAGAACAGGCCTGTTATTTAATTCGATTTTAAAACAAACTATTTATTTATTATTGTGGTTTTTAGTATCGCCTGTTCACCGCCCTGAGTCCCGCAAGGGAGATAGGGCGGTATATAAATTTAATAAATAAATAAATAAATAAATAAATAAATAAATAAAGTGTGTGTGTGTGTGTGTGTTGGCAGCCAATAAATTAAAATGAATACATAAATACATAAATAATATATGCTTGTCCTTGAAGGTACAAGTAATACTTTAAGTTATTCAGAGTCTTATGTTACCAATCCATGCTCCTTTTCTATTTATGAGCTGGCTATCTATTGATGTAATAGAAAAGCTACTTTGTGTGGTCACGGTTTAATGTTGTGCTTAAAAGTCAAGCTGAACTATTTGCTATTTGAAACTTCATGGGGTTAAGACGGACCAAAATAAAAAAAGAGTGTGTGTGAAAAATTTATATTTTTCATTATTTTGTATTTTATTTTATATTTGTTATTTTTCCTTTTGTGTTACAAAGTTTTATCGGGACAACGAGTGTACCTTTGATACGTCTAAGAGTGACTTAGTGGAAGTCACAACTGTCTTGTGTGTTAAACTGTCTACCGACGTAAGAAGCCCTTTACATCTTGCATGGTTCCTTGCCAATGAATTCCTTTATTCCACAGCATTAATCCAAGGTAAGAACCTGAGCAATGCAGCTGCAATAAACTATGTATTTATTGCTCTCAATTAAAAACAGCTATACAAGAGAACAACAACCAAAAAAATATGTCATGTGTGTTTGTTTCCAAATAACTGCGCCAGAGATCTTGGAGTCCTAGTGGACAATCACTTAAATATGAGCCAGCAATGTGCTGCAGCTGCCAAAAAAAGCCAACACAGTCCTAGGCTGCATTAACAGAGGGAAGATCACGTGAAGTGTTAATGCCACTTTATAATGCTTTGGTAAGACCACATTTGCAATACTGCATCCAACTTTAGTCCCCATGATATAAAAAAGATGTTGAGACTCTAGAAAGAGTGCAGAGAAGAGCAACAAAGATGACTAGGAGACTGGAGGCTAAAACATGTGAAGAATGCTTGCAGGAATTGGGTATGTTTAGTTTAATGCAAAAAAGAACTGGGGTGACATAGCAATGTTCCAATATCTAAGGGATTGCCGTAAAGAAGAGGAGGTCAAGCTATTCTCCAAAGCTCCTGAAGACAGGACAAGAAGGAATGGATGGAAACTAATCAAAGAGAGAACCAACCTAGAACTAAGGAGAAATTTCCTGATAGAACAATTAATCAGTGGAACAACTTGCCTCCAGAAGTTGTAGGTGCTCCAACAATGGAGGTTTTTAAGAAGAGATTGGACAACCATTTGTCTGAAATGGTATAGGATTTCCTGCCTGAGCAGGAGGTTGGATTAGAAGACCTTCAAGGTCCCTTCCAACTCTGTTATTCTGTTTCTTTTCGCTTACATGAAACCTCCAAATTTTTGGGACTTCAGTTCCCAAAATTTGGCAAAACTTGCTGAGAATTGTCCATAGTAGCAATGAAGTTCATGGGAAGGTTGAAAAAAACTTCACAAAAGTTGTGTAAGAAAAATAAAAAGTAACTTATCAATGACCAACATATCATGTAAGGTTTTAAAAGTATACCACCAGATTTATCAGGGCTGTCTTTTGATTGATCAGAATGTTTAACTGATTTAAGCAATTGCAAAAAAAAAAAAAAGTGGAAGGCACTCTGTTGTAGTTCACTAGGACACATCACACTACACATAGCAACCAAATAAGCTATATGAAGTGTGACTCAGCCTAAGAAATCCCCCCCAAGTTTCAGAGCTGACTATTTTTTGTTGACTGCAAGCTTCCATGGGGACAAATTGGTGGCTGGCAGGAAACGAAAGGATGCATTTAATAACATAATATGTGTTGATCCATAGCTGCAAAAGTTTCTCTCTTTTGACAGTTGCCACATCGAATTTTCTCTAAGCAAAAGGACTTTGGGAATCTTGTGGAATGCAGTACTATTGTGCATAAATAATCTATATTTCAACTCTAGTTCTGCAACAGTTAGGAAGTTCATGACAATTACAAATACTATAAGAAGAACTCTACTGAAGCAGGAATCAAGTGAATCCAGCACTATGTTTGCAAAAAAAAAACGGCGAAGGACATTTCAGAGATGCAACAAACAGCATTGCAGTTTCCCCTTGTTATCTGTCCTTAACATTTGCCATATTGTGGAATCCAGGGTGTTATTTTTCAGTTGACAGACCATAAAGTAGGAGGGGCTCTACAGCCTGGCTTATCTTGTTTCTGGAGGCTTCAGTTAAAGTCCTAGAACTACGATACCTTTGTTTTTGTTGAGTTTTTAAATGGGATGGAAAAATATGCACACCAATTGTTATTTCCCTTGGCTTTTGAGAGTTCTCAATTATTTCTCATTTCTGCTCTGCTAATTTATAGCATAATCCAGCCTTGGCTGTAATTTATTTAGTATTTATTTATTTATTCAATTTGTGTGGCTGCCCATCTCAACAAGTGACAACAAATGACTCAGGGCCGCCAACAAAATTAAAAAGAAAATAAAATGAAAGCAAATTACAGTAATTATACTTATTATAATATATAATAAGTATATATATATAATAATATGAGCATATACTAGTGATAGATGACTAGAGAAGGCAAGTTTTATATTGCCACCACAACATGGCAGCTGGGTGGACAGGACAAATTGCCAATGGGGATAATCTCACATTCTGAAGATGGAAAATTAATTTCTGGTTTGATCAGCTTTAGCAAATTTTGGAGTTCATGCCTTTTGTAGCACCTACATAGATCCCTGGGCAAGAGACCTGTAAATATCAGAGAAATGACAGCCAGAATTCTCCAACCTCTGGAATAGCAATAGCCTACAAGTCCACAGCCACACTCTGCCAGGAATTATCCAGAACCAAAGACAAGATACAGAAGGATAAGAGTAACAATGTAATTTACAAAATCAACTGTAACAAGTGCAACCAGTTCTATGTGGGACAAGCATCACCTCAATTGAAAACCAGAATCCATGAACACCAGCTGGCAGTCAATCACCACGATCCCAAATCCTTAATCTCTACCCACACTGACGCCGAACAGCACCAATTTG